TTTGAACACGTTTTACAACAGACCTGTATCTAAAAATAACATGGTTAGACACCTCCCACGCACACTCGAAATATTGACCTTTAAGCTTCAAAACCATGGGGATTTCCTATGTGGGCTAGAGAATAACCTCTGCTAGGGAAGCCCAACACAAATCTGAGACCATAATGCTTGTTACAGGTGTTGAGCTGCAAATCTTACTGGAAACACCTTCCTGGTATTTTTGCTTCTGTCCAAATGCACGTTCTTGCACAATCCTAACAATTTTGCTAGCCTCTTGAAAACCCCATTTCCAGATGTGTTTGGCACAGAAATAAATGAGTACATGCTCAGAACATGAAGGAACATTAGGAACTGACTGCAACATTGCTTAAAGTTTCCATTACAAGTTTTTCAGCCTCCAGGTAACTCTAATTGACACCAGGGGCTGTGGAGGACTGGAATGATTTCTGTCAGTAGCCCTGTTGCATGCAGAAATCTGCAGCTCCAAATCCAGCCCCCTACTTTATTTTTCATTATTTAATTTTCTCTAGGTTTTAACAGGAGCATCAAGGAAGCTCATTGCTGTACCACGCCTTGCAAGGACAAGTGGCACATGGGAATGTGCCTATTGAAAACACAAAGGTCTGCAGGACAGTAGCTGGAAGAGACCCACATCCCTAATTCCACAGCATCTCGTCCAGAGATGCAGGCTGAGGTGAAAGTCCCATGGTGGGAGCCCAGACCCTGCCCACAGGAGCATGAGCTGCCCACTTTGTGGGTACCCTGTGCATACACACACACACAGAGGGTTTGTGCTGGTGCTGTGCTGTTTGTGGTTTGCCCACTCACCCTCTCGCCCACCAACTCTGGGCACTGCTGCCACCAGCTGTGCAGTGGGATAACCTCACCTCCTTACTGCAAAAATAAACGCCAGGTCCCGGTCACACACCCGCTGTGTGAGCCAGCAGCTGGGACCTCCCAGCACAGGGAGACAGTGAGCCAGGAGCGCAGGCATAGCACAAAGCCTGCGGCCAGGACCGCTGTGCCCTGGGTGCAATTCCCAGGAGGGCTGGGGGCCTTGGGAGCCCCAGCCCCTCGCTGTCCCTGCCGTTGCTGCTGTCCCTGCCACCCCCTTTAGACCAGGACAAGGGCCAGGTGCTGGCAGTCACTCAGGGGTGTGGTCAGCCTTCACAGAGGGTTGTCCAGACCCCACAGCATTGTCTCACAAGCAGAGTTAATTGCCCGGTGTGCAATAAGCCACTATACACTCAGAGACAAGATATTGTTTATTGCATGTCTGTGCAGAGATGGATGCTAGGTGGTAACTCCACAAAGCTAGCACATCTGCTTTCAGTCACATTGTGTATATATACAGTTCAAAATGTTAGTTCCATCTACTTTGCCACATCCTTCTAAATATAATTGGTTAGTTTTTAAACTCTTCTTAACTGCAGATGATTAGTTCTTTTCTCACTTTGGTTCACAGTGTTCCTTAAATTTACTATGCATGCTTGGTCAGTGAGGGTCTTAATTCAGGGAGGGCTGCCAAGACACTTGGAGGTTGTGGTTTTTAATATTATATTAAAATGAGGATAGGTTACTTTCGGACGGTGCTAATCACTAACTTGGCTGACTGTTCTGGAAAATACGTATGTTCCCGTCTTCAATCCTTAAGTGATTAAAAAGGTTTTCTCAACAGTCGCAAGAACGGTCATCCTAATCTACACAAAGAGTACATACTTGTTACGTTAACTCTAACTTAACTTGCAGCAATGAGGCTGTCGCAGGCAGAGCCATATCAGCTCCTCGCCCTGCTCTCCACATCCATAGGGTCATCACAGGGACTCCATGTCAAGATATTCCCTTCTGCCTGCAGCAGTCAAACGCCAAAACCTCCATACACAGACTACCCTGGGCACAGTTTTATGGGCTCCAGGTAAAGTTCACCCTGAAAAACACACCCTTTAAACCTTGTGGCCCTACAGGCCATACTGTGGGGGGGAGAGCAGGCACTTGCACTGCCTGTTCCCCCCACCAAGCCCCATGTGCCTGCAGATGGGTTGGAGGAAGGGAGATACAGCAGGGCACCAGTGGCTCTTTGAGCAAGGCAAACAGTAAGCCTAATGATATGGGAGGAGAGTACTGCTCATTGCTGTGGTTTCCAGAAACACTCACAAAAACCAGCACAGCAGTGAATGAGTGGCGTACAGTGAGGTTCACCAAAGTGATGTTGTCAGACTATTCCTGCTCCAAGTCTCTTCTGCTGAGCACCCCTTGCACAGTGAAGGAGAAAAACTGATGAAGTCTTCCCACTCATTTGCCTCTGATTTTTTTCTTTTTTATGATGATTTATTTTAGGGAACACTCAAAACTTGGGATTTATTTTGTTGGGCTCACATGCAGTGGTGTTGGCCCAATGGCAGATTTCTCAGGTAAGCACTCACACTAACAGTTACCCCGAAAGGAAGTTCCCTTTAGGACAAAAAACTCCCTTTAGGATGAAAGGGTTTGTTGGTTGCTGGTTCTTTAAGTGCAGAGTAAAAGGAAAAAATACCCGCATCCTTTAGAAGTTCTGCAATATCAGAATACAAAGTTGCAGCCTGTTATTCACCTGCAGCAAGAAGGTCCGTACCAGCCATGGTGATTTCCTTGCTGGGAAGGAAATGAGAGTATCACAGTTCAGCTAAAAGGCCTGTGGGACTGAAGGAGGGTGATGAGGAAGGATGCACAGGCTGGAGAAGAGGAAGGAGCCCTCCAATGCCCTTCTGGCCATGGGCACTTGCTCAGCCTGAGTGCCCTACGCCGAGTTACCAAGAAGTCCACCTAGGTGCTGGCCTCAGGAAAGCAAACACATCCACAGGGAAACCCCAGATAATTTTCAAGGCTTTGCTATATAAATATATTAAAGACATTAAAGTAATCCACTGGCAGAAAGCAAGAAGCTTATTTCTTTCAGTGTTTGTTTTATCTCTTTCCGCAGAAAAACTCGGTGGTAGATTTGCCTTTGTGCACGTAGTTGGGATCGGGACCAAGATGTGACACTGACAGATAAGGACTTAATTAATATCCAGTAAGAGGCAGGAGGGATGAATGTTATCAGCAGTTTCACCTGACTCATGCGTTGGGCTGATAATCTACAGAGGACTGCTACGGAGGTCTGAAAGCAGTATGGTCCCTGCCTTGGGATGACTGCTTTCCCTTCATGCATGGGCAATGTTTCAGCCAATCTCACCCCCTGCACTGTGAGAAGAAAGCTGGTGGAAAAATCGTTAATGACATCGCTGGACCAGGCATCACAATGGACATTTGGGAGCACTGTGGATGTCGCACATAAGGAGTAAACTGGATTTTTAAGTTTTAAATCTGACATTTTCTCACAGTGATGGAGGTAAAAGGCATGATATGAACTCCTGAGTGCTGGAACACAGTCCTCTTCTGCCTGCAGCTTGGTATCTTGTGAAATGAAGGATCCACAGAATGTTTGGTGTATGAATCATGACCTTCAAGGAGAAGTGCCATCAATATATTAAATAGGGATGGGCATTAAAAAAATTAAACCGCAGGAAAATGAGCTCTATTGTTTTTTCCCTTTTAGACCAAAATCCTTCCTACAGGCTTCAAAATATTTTTCAACAAATAAATTACCTTCAAACCACACCACAGAAGTTAAAAGTTCTCGCTTTGAATTGTGTCAAAGAAAGACACACAAAACAAACTCGTATATAAAAATCAAAGGCATGAAGAGTGAACTCTGTTAAAGATCAACAAAACGCATTGATCCCTATTCTGGTGAGGAACAGGAAGAATTCCCTGTGGTTTTCCCATGGGAAAACAGAGGGCCCACCATGGGGGCTCTGTGGGTGCCTCCTTTGGGGAGGGTGCAGAGCTGGCCCCACCATCCCGCTGTTTGTCTCCCCCTCCCTGGCACTGCTCTGCTCATGTTCAAGCATTGGGAAGTAGCTGGAACTTAAGAAATGTTACAGAAAAAGGTAGAAAAAGGTCCAAAATGGAGATTAAAGCCTGGACAGTCAGCTCAAGTCCCAAGGCCTGCTGCCCCAACACAGCCTGAAGGCTGCATTAGAGGCCACCTTTGAAACACAGAGAAAAGCAATTGGGAAACTAAGAGGTTAATGTGGTGCTTCAGAAGGTTGTTTTTGGCAAATCACATCCCTGCAGTGTTGGACGGGTTACGGGTTGCACAGCAATACTCTGCTCTGGGGACTGGTACCTCCTGGTCAGGTTGAGATCACACATAAACTCTCCTTTCCTCTCTTGAGTATCTTTATGCTGGTGCCTTTCTTGGTTTGTTTGGGTTTTTTTGTTCATTTTTTGTTTGGTTGGTTTGGTTTGGTTTTTCCTGATCTTACCTTCTTTTCCTATTCCAAACTGCCTTGTGTGGGAACAAACAATGGCCTCAGCCAGGCTTGGAATTTCAGGGTCACACCTTCCACCTTCTGTGTCCTCAGGTCTGTTGCAGCGGTTCTCAGTTCCCCAGCATGGTTTGCCTTGTGGTCTCCTGAAACTCAGAGGTGTCACACCTCCAGTCCTCCTGCCTTACCTGTTTCAGATAAGCGTAAGCAAAACCTGAAGGCCAAGGAAAAGTTCAGGCAGAAAAGATACACTTGCACAGGAAATACATGTATATATTTTTTCAGTAGCGGCAAACATCTAAAGCTTCCCAGAAGTGTTAAAAACTCTAATGGCAATGAAACCAGCTGCGGTTGCCAGAGGCACCCAGCAGCATCCAATTAATAGATTACGTGATCATGTAATAGATATGTATCTATAGGTACGTAATAGATAATGCAACCGATAGATCATGGGAGCTTAGGAATTTATCTCAGGGATATCAAAAATATGTGTGGCAACATTTCCTAATCAAACAAAAGAAAACGCAACCTCTGGGTGAAGCGTTGGATGGAACAATGTTATCAGACCTTGCTGGGCAAACACAAAGAGTGTATAAAATGAGCTGCTCCAAGGGAGAGCTGCACCTCTCCTCCACCCGCCTTCCAAGAGCAATGGATCTCAAAGTGATCTGTGGGCTCTCCGTCATCCTTGTCGTAGCCCTCAGCACCTTGGCAGAGGGAAAGACACCACCAAGTAAGTATGTTCTCTGCTGTTGCCTTCACTGGTATTTATGTGGGCCTCATCCTGCTGAGTGTAACTGCAGCAGGACCATGTCTCCAGTCTACGTATCAGATAGCAAGTGTCTTGCTCTGGTACTGTTACCAAAGTTGGAGTTTACTTTTAAATTTTTTTTCTGAGAAATCTACAGCAAAATGAAAAAGACTGCAAGTCAGCTCTTGTGTTGGTGGAATAACCAGGAACCTGCTACAAAGGCAGAGGGACAGACATGTCCAGGATTTCACTAGAAGAGGACGAGCACAGGAACAGGAGCTAGCTTTCTTTAAATAGTCTTCTGACATTTATTTTATTCTACTTTTCCATGTGAATACAGTTTCAAAGAAGTCTATCTGCCTCCTCAATAAAAGGCAAGTCATTTAGACAAATTAAGAATTGGAAAGCAAGTAACTCAATGGCAGACAGCTAGGGACATCTCCAGAAATTCTTGGTTGCAGTAGACTTAAAATGTTAAAACCACAGCTCCAACTATTTGCACATAATCCTATGTTCTTGTAGTCACCTGATGAGAATGCAAAGATTTGGTATTTTTACACCGGTTCTAATAGCCACGGGACACTTAAGTCTTCCTTTCTTCACATGGGATGGGTAAAGCAATGAACATATACAAGCATGACATTTGAGGTCATGGGTTTTTACCATTTGATGTGTTCTATTTGAAGTCCAGAAACCCTACTGTGCTGGGCTGGCTTGGTTGCAAGTGAGACCACAGATTCTCAAAGGGTGGAGTACAGCCCTTACTGAAATTGGTGGGAGTTTAAATGCAGGTTTTAAACCACACAAGTTCTGGTCTAAGCAAGCAATAGATAATGTACACTTGCAAAGATGGACAAAATCCAGGGAAAGATCGGTGTTCCCAGTGGACACTTGATAAATGCACCTCTGCTAACAAACATGCAAACTGACACACAGTAACTTGCTATTTCTGTCCTGAACAGCAAGATGCCAGTGTAAACTGCTCCCCAGGGAGCGGAGGAACTGCGGCTACCCAGGAATCTCAGCATTGGAGTGTGCGAAAGCTGGGTGCTGCTTCAACACTTCAGTCCCTGGTGTTCCCTGGTGCTTTGCTCCTAAAGCAAAAAAAGGTAATATCTCTACCAGAAACACTGCTTTACCTAGCACTTGATTACATAGAAATGTGTACAACTGGGGAGCAGCTCTGCTTTTCTTCTGAAGCCAACAAAGCGGGCACAAACTTCTATTAGAAGACCACTGATAGTAAAATGCAAAGTCAAACCTTGCTTACTGATCAGTCCTATCTCATCCTCTTCACTCAAGATATTTTCTCGTCCTTAAGGCTTCTGGTTATCAAATAACCCGTGTCAATTATTTAAAAGCATTTCACTGCCAGTTGTGGTCTTATTCATCAGTGGAACAGGGGATCCTCAGCACTTATTTAAATGGGTTTTCTATGTGGCTGAGGAAGACTTTAGTATATGTCAAAAAAATTAGAAAGTCCTGAGTAGATGAGTCCATCTGTAGTTGTTTGACACTTGAACAAAGGACTGCAGACATGCTTTAACTTCTAGGTTTTTTTTCTTTTTTTCCATCCTGTTTTGATAATTGCTACTTCCTTCCTTTCCTGCCTGTTTCCCAGTATAATTCCACTTGGTGGCTCTTTTTTTCTCCCCCATTTTTTTCTCCCAGTCTTCATTCAATGATATTTCCAAAATATCCCAGGGGAAATCCTTTTCTCCATTAGATTCTTCATTCTAAAGATTCTAAACCCCTACTTCCTTTTTTTTGCCCTTGTTTTCTCAGAGAGGGTGAGAGCTGCTCTCCCAGTCCTTCAAGGACTGGATGTATATTTTACATAACTGCTGAATGTAAGCTACATTTGCTGGGCTGACTGCATGACTCCTGCTTAGGAGAACTTCAGGCCAATCTCACCAGTTGCACAGGTGAAATAAAAGGAAGTGAGGGTGCAAAGGCAATGTTACCTGATAAAAGAACTTGATATGAATCCAGATAGGTCAACAGGGCTCAGAATTGTTGGAGGAAAAAAATAATTTTGTTTTTGAACTCTGCTTGTATTTAATTAAATCCTTGGGGAAAAAAAAAAAAAAAGGCTGCAGCTTACAGTGTCATTTTCATAGAATTACTTTTATGAGCAGAACAGTTTCAGGAGAGGAGAACTGAATTATTCAGGCCAGGTGGTATAACCTCTTTACTGGTGACTGTACTTTTAATTTCCTGGATGAGCTGTGGTTTCCTCCTAAATGACCTACCTCCTTTCCATAACTCAAATTGTCATGCAGAGTAAGCTGGGTCTTCCTCTCCCCACATTAGCCAGTCTGCTTTGGAGTTAGCACTGGGTCAGGTCACAGATATTCCCTGGTATGAGCCTAATGTCTTGTGGTACCACTGCAGGAGACATTTGGCTCTCGACCCCATTGCTGGACCTAGGAAAGGTAAAACTGGGAAGCTGCTGACAGGCATTTCTAGGGGAAATTTTCCCTCTCTGGCCCCTGGGGCACAGCAGCAATTCCTCCCCCCTTGGTATTTAGTTTTGCCTAACAGGCACGATAGGGGTTTGGGTGAACCTGCTGCCTGAAACCAGTGTGGAGAAGGTCATCGCAGCTGTCATGTCTGCTCGCTGACCTCGCCTTCACAGCCTGCCTTTTATTTGTTAATTATGCTGCCAGGTAAACAGAGCACGAAGTAACACAGCGTTTTTGCTTTACGCAGTTAGGAAAGTATGTCCCAGCGATCCCAACGTCAGGATAAACTGTGGCTTCCCTGGCATCACGGCCAAGGAGTGCGAAAGGAAAGGGTGCTGCTTCAGGGCATATCCCGCCGGCGTCCCCTGGTGCTTCTACCACCGCACAGTGGAGGAAGGTAAGTAATGTCCTGCATGAGGCATCATCCTCCACGTCCCTGTGGACACACCACGGCTCCTGGCAGGGCCACCCTGGGCCTGTTCTCAGGTGCCCTGCCCCAGCTTGGTGCGGTGGGAGGCCACGCTCCAGGGAAGGAGCAGATCGGGGTCTCCCCCACTTCCCAGGGTGGGTGAAGAGCTTCCTCACACAGGGCATGAGTGAGAAAGAGGAGGATAAACTGCAGAAAGACCTACTTCTTGCACAGAGGGGTGGCTGTGGCTGACCCGCCTCAGCCAGCGGCAATGTGGCTGCACAGGCAGTCTGGGCTCTGGTGTGAGCTCAGGCCCTTTTCTAACGCAGTGGTAGAGGTGTAGCTACCAAACTCACATCTACTGCATCATAAGAGATAAAAGGCTTTGCTTTAGAAAGGTGGAATGAACTAAACAGAAATTTCTGATGCCCTATTTCCATTTTTTCCATTAGGACTGACCTTTCAGCATATCTAACGTAGATAACAAGTAGCCTCAGCCAATGCCAACCCACACCACAGTGTATTTTGTACTGGAAACAATTCTCTGTAATTCCATTCTACTGATCTGAATCATAATTATGAAACACACGCATGTATGAGGGCGGGGGAAAGAAATTCCTAAAAAATTGCCTTTTTGATGGCATTTGTTTGCATCTAAACAAGTGCTTCCTAGCATCTTGTGTAAAAAGATGTGTTGAAAAAACATATCCCTTCACCTGCTTCTCTTCTCTCTCTCCCCAGCTTGTTAAAGGAGAAACTTCCATGAAGCACCTTGCGATCTCTGGACCTACTCCAACGGGAAATAATAGCCAGAGGTCCCAACTCAGACTTTGTAGTTTGTTAACAGCTACGATTTCTAGGTCATTTTTATCTTGGATTAATGCCTTCCTGATGAAAAGTTACTTGCAGCTTTTATTCTTTCAGTAGGCTAGTACCATGCAGGTTTTCACTGTAATAAAATAACTAAGACACAATTTGTGAGTTCTCTGCTATCTTTATTTTAAAACTGTGTATTTCTCTGTTTCCCAGGAAAATTTTGCATCTTAGCAACCCACCGATGAGAGAATAGCCACTAACGCTTCTGAAAGGTCATGGCACTTAGCTCTTTTTTGTTAGTTACAGTTCACGCTCACAAGTGACTGCTGGTATTTGTTAGCTGATATGTAGCTTCACACAGGCCACTTGCTCTTCTGAATACTGCAAATATTTGATGTTTCCCTTTATATAGCTACAGCTGTGGTTTTGCTTTTTTTTTTTTTCTTTCCCCTCAAGACATAGGGAGGGGTACCTTTGTTAGCTGACCACCGAGCTGGTCTGACTCAGAAACCTCCTGCTCTCTGCGTCACAGTGTCTCTGATGCTGCCAATCCCTACCAACTGGGAACGAGGTAGCTCAGGAAGGCAGTGGGACCCAAACCCACCCGGTACCCTACCTAACCCAACACAGGCCCTGCCTGCTGATGCAACACGCATCTGAATCACTGGGCACTTTCACTGCTAACTAGCATCCTCACAAGAGAGTCCCATGGGTCATGCTCAGGAAAAGTATCTGCAACACTAAAAGCAAGAAACAGGTCCCCCTGGCCCTGACCTATACCTGAACTAGAGCCAGCTGTGTCTCGCCAGACACAGGAGAAGCTTCTGGTCTCCAAGTGAGTGTGGCTGATTTCTGCTGGCTGTCCTTAATGCCGGCCACAGCAGCTCAAATGCTTCCCTGCTTCAGCTGAGTGAGACCACAATAAAAATCCTCTAAGAGCACCTCTGGGAACAAAATGGGTAATGCGAGACTGCCGTGGCAGCAAGCCATGCTCAGGGCTTAGCAGGAAAGAACAGCTGTGCCGGGTTGTGCTGCAAGGAGAGAGAAAATGGTAGAGACACGTCTCCTTAGAGATTTCTCCAAGTATGCTTTCATGATGAGTAAGTTTATCCAAGCAGGTAAAAATTACACTGTCATAAAACTTCATTATCTTGCACTTACAATAGGCTCAACAATATGATTTGAATACAGTAGGGTATTGGTTGTAATATGAGCAATAAACTGACAAATCTTCCAAAGGTCTTTGCTGAGGACGGTTTGATGGTATAGCCCAGGTGGATCCGGAATGTGTAATCACGATAATACTGCATTGCAAAATTTGGTCTAACAACTAGATGGATTCAACAGGTAACGGGGCCTTTATAAGCATCTTGTTGGGAGAAAGAATGAAAACGCAGCCACACTGAAATGAGTAACCCTAATTAATGCTGTGGGAAATCATCGCTGAAATTAGGCTGCCGGAGTCAGCGTGCTTCCAGGGCAGAACTCTCACAGAGCCACACGTACTCACCAAAAGGCTTTTCCTTCTCCAGAAGCACGTGCTGATAGGCCCAACACAGAGCATAAGGGGGCATGTGGGTATTTCGGAGGGACAGGCTCAGATGGATAACTGCTTACTGATCGTCTCACCCTCCCAGATCCCTCCGTTGGGGCTGTGCCAGTGAGGCAAATGCAGGTTAGTGGTCCTGCTGAGCTTCCCCTGCCACAGCATACTGCAGCTCTATTTTGCTTTGGAAGAAAAATTACAAACAGAAATGTCTTCGTAAAGGCAGGGGTGGAGGGGGAGGTGGTACTGTGGGGTCCTCTGCTGCAAAACCTGATTGGGAAACTCAGCCTGGCAAGGCACAGCAGCTGAAACTCCTGGGAACTTTTTGAGCCCATCTGTTTAAATGGCCTGCATGTTGACGCAGAGAAAAACAGTGGTGACAGTGCAGGATAGCCCACGCTGACAGCAGTCTCACTCCAAAAGGATGAAGCATTAAGGGCTGAACCTGCTCGCTTGCTGCCCTTGGGCATGGTGTCCCCTGCAAAAACCATTAACTGCTGTGTGCTGACCAGCAAACCATTCCCAACAGCATGCTAAGCCAAGGCACTGGGTCGTGCAGTTGCACTGGACATTTGAGGTTATAAATCAGTTGGTTGCTCATAGCACAAAGAATTATGACCTAAGGATTTGTCATCATCAGTCAGTCCTAAGGGACGATGGCTATTCTGGGAATTTACATTTAGTAAATGCTTGAGGTCTCTCTGTGTAGACTGTTATCCACATTCACCCAAATGCACTTGAAAAAACTGCCTAGAATTCTTAAAATTAACATTTTTGGTGAAAAAAACAAGCTGGCAAAAATGGAATAAAAGCCACAGCTGCTGAAGATTTGAAGACGGCAGGCAGAGCCAAGGTAGTGCAAAGTGAGATCCCAATCTAGGAATGCACACCAAAGAGGAGCTGCAGAGATGGGGCTACAGAAGGAAGGACCTTCCTCCCCTTGTCTTCAGGGTCACTCCGTGGGCTCGCTACACCTCAGTCAGTCACCATGGGCCCCATTCACAGCCCTCAAAGAGAAGAAGACACATCTGGGCTGGAAATTATCTGCCTAGTTCAAATGTCCCCAGCAGGCTGAATTGAACTGCCCAGAAAGTTCTACTTCCTGCCCAGCTCAAAGGGATGTCTAGACAAACAGCTGCGTGTATCTGCTCTCTTTCCTTAGGTTTTCCCATCAGTGCCTCTTGATGCTGGAGACAGCCACTCCAGGGACAGGAGGAAGAGAGAAATGGGGAATGCTGCTGCCCCGGCACAGGTTTCTGGCCTGATGTTAGCATTCCTAGCTGACCTGGTGGCAGACGCCCAAGAAAGACAAATCACTGCATGGGAACAGAGGTGTCCTGGCTGCTGGCAATCAATTGCCTTTTGGAGCTCACAGTCTGGCCAGCAGATAGACAAACACAGATACACGCAATTCGTTCATTTATTTTGTGTCAATAGATCAACAAGCTTCAGTAGCTAACATGATTGAAATAGCTTCACATTATTGGATTTTGTGAAGTCTGTCCTTTTCTGTCCCTTCTTCGTATTTTTTTTTTTTTCATTCTTTTTGCTCGTATATAGCTCTATCCAGCACTAGGAAGAGAAATTAAAACAGAAGCTTTAAAACTGTTTTTAGTGTTTCAGGCTGGTTACGTTACCTAATTAATCTATTTAATGGAAAGAAATACAGGTTCACCCACAACACCTTGAGACTGATGGGTGGCCACATTAGGTAATTTCAGATGTTCATGTAGCCCCCTGTCTGTCCTTGACCAAAAGGGTTGTCTAGGGAGAGATGCAGGATAAGCATACAATGAGGCTTCTCCTCTAATAAAATGCCAGACTGTAACAAACACAAATCAGTTTTAACAAGCAAAAAATGAGAAGCCCAAATGAAGACTTACCCTTAGTATCTCTGCAACTCTGCTTGCACATCCACACCACCGTACAGCGAGTACTGAGTAACTAAACAAAGTTGTGAATATTTTTTTGTGGGGAAAAGAAGTAGGTCAGCTACATGATTTTCATCAGCGAAGGTGCTACTGTAACAGGAATCAATTCTCTGTGACACAAAGTCTTTGAGCTGGTGAGGCCATTACGCAGATAGTGAATGATGTTTAAAATCATGATGCCTGGTAGTCCTAAACCGTCTGTAATCATGACAGCCCTGTGCAACCAATGCTTCAGCTTCTAATAAGGCTGCATAGAAAATGTTTGATATTGCAGATTGCTTGTGTGGTTCTTCAGTGAGTGAGGATATTCTACTGTTTTTTAAAGCAATTGTAGCCAAGGAAAAGGTCTCAGAAATCATTCATTTTGAAGCAATGCTGGTTTTGGCTGACATGGAGAATTAACAGGGGAGAAAACTAGGGCAGAAAAGGAGCTCAAAGCAGATAGATGGGTGCTAGCAACAAAAAACAAACATGTGGCAATCTGAAAAAGGGATGTTACTGAAAACACCTCCAAAAATGTGTATCTTAATGTGCCCACTTACTTCAGATCACATTCCCAGTGTCTCTGGAAAGGGTATGCTTCCTGCTAGAGCTAGGATCACACACACATCTCCTCCGGCAAAGCTCCTGTTCAAAAGGAAGGTTTCAGACAAGGTGCTAAACCAAAGTGAAAAAGAATACATAAGTTGAAATCT